ACATTAAAATAATTTATTTTGAAAAATATTATATTTTCCACAAGCAGTTTAAACGTGCAACAGTATCCGTTTTAAATAATATTGATCCATTGCAATGGTGTGTAACTAGGATATATTAAAGGACGGTGGCAGACTTAAATTATAGTCAAAATCATTTTTTGTGATTATTAGTTTTTAGTTTTTAATCTTCAAAACATCATACTATACATATCAGAATACTTGCATGGAAGTACTGTTGAATAAAAACTTAACAAGTACTTATGATATGCCATAAAAACAAAATGGGTTAATCGTCTCTCTACAACATTTTATTATTTATTATTAATCGTGTTTCATTTCATTTCGAATTGTTACAAAAAATACTGTGTAAAATATAATGTAAAATAATAAAAATAAATTAAAATGTTTGGCTTGATACTAATCGATACACAATATATAAATATTAATAAATATGATAGAATAATTTTCTAATACGGAGTTAGGAAAAGGTTGCCAGTGGCCAAAAGCGTATTAAAAGTCAATATATAGGGAAGCAAAATAATTTTGCGCCCCTATGCATATTGATAAATAAATATGTAAGTAAGAATAAAAAAAAAAATAATGTTCCTAGCTTCACTCGGACAATTATTTCTTTAACTTCACATTTTTATTGAGTTTCAAACCTTGTTGAAGGCTTGAGTATGGTTACAATTATACAATTTTGATTTACAATTAAATTACATTATGTTATAATAAAACCTATGTTGATAAAACCTATATGAATGTAATATAATTTAGATACCTACATCCACAAAACTTAATTCATACTTTTGTATCTGTTTATATGCAAATATATGTAAATTAATATATTATTAATTATTACCTGTATACCTAATATGATGTACTACTTTAGAAAAAACTATTGTGGCTATGTGTTCATAATATTATTTGTTTCCATCCTCCGTAATTACATAACCTAAATAAATCACTTATTTTCTCAGAAATTGACACTTATTAAGTTAAAATTTCAAATTGTATTCCCTTAATCTCTCAAAAATTTCGCTTACTTTTTCTCTTGCTCAAGTAAATTATTACATCATCTAAATACGAAAAACAACGAGTGCTTTCCAACCCAATTAGTATTTTTCGCATCATCCGGCTAGATGTAGTCGGTAAGAGGTCAGACCGAAACCTAATCTCAAAAACTCGAAGTGCCCTTCAGGTGTGGAAAACGCTGTTTTATGCGTATTAGCGGGATTTATTTTTATTTTTCTGCGAAACTTTTAGCTGTATTAACGCTCCTACCCTCCTAAGATGCCATAGTTAGATCGTGATATGCTTTATCAATTCTATTACTGAAATCCATTACGCTTTATCTTCTTCTTTGTCTTATACTATTTAATTCTATTCTAGTTCTTTTTTAATCATATAAAATGGTCGATGATATTTGTTGATAAGGACGTAGTTAATACTTCGTTATACGGTTTCCAGGACAATATTTATGAATATGAAGAATTCAAGTTTCTACGAAAGCATCTGGTACTGTGTACACTTGTATCGATTAGAAATCTGATCAAAAATTAGTAACCTTATTCGACAAAAACATAATAGAACGAATAATTAAAATCCATGCACATGATTTGTACGCGAGTATGCATGTATGGTCGGTGTGATGCATGTGTTGAATAACAATTATAATAACAATATGATATGTCGGAAAACGAAAACCTTGACAAATTCTATGCGGAAAACTCGATCGCAGATGGTTTATTTCCGACGGAAACGATATGAATAAATCAGTGTCGCAACCATAAAGTTTTTCTTCGTTTCTGTTCAAAGAAAAAAAAGTTAAACGTTCATAAAATAAAATTTACAATATTTAATCTAACCACTAATTCGTGTTTACTTTGAATTTCGATTATAATGTGTACGCTCGTCCAAGTGTAAATATTATTTCACCTCAACATACGCTTTGCGCAGGAGAGAACATCATTATTTTCCCTGACCAAGATACGTAAAAACATTAATTTTCCTCGAGTATTTTCGTGTCGCTCAAATGTTAATGAACACAAAATATAAAACCCCCAGAGGAAAATCACTGACCGAGGTTTTATTAACGTCGGACCGTGTGTGCACGTTGTACGGAATAATTATTATATTAGGTACTAACATCCAAAACAGTAAGAAAACGATTTTTCTTGACGATCCGACAATATTTTTGGACGAATGGTGAAATCGTGTAAACCGGCAAAATTAAAACAAATCGCGGCGTAATCAGTGCACTTCACATTATACCCGGAATCCAAAAGTATACCTATGTTATAAGTCTTACAATGGAGTTCCTATGGGCTTATAAGCTACCCTATCCCATAAGGGTGTGATTATTTAGCCATTATTATATAGACATTGTTGATAGGTTAGATTAGCATTCCTTATTTCTTACATTCACCATATACCTTTTCAAAAATAGAAACATGTAATTTTTTTTTTTTTAAGACCCTACCTTAATGACGTATTCAGTTTGATGCACATCAACAATTGTCACTTGCACAAATAGTTGCAATCACTCGATTCTTGTTTCAAGACAATCGCTTATTGAGAAGACTTGACATTGAGTGTCTCGATTACATCTTTCACAATGATGAATAATGTTTATAATGACTATAATAACTATAATTTGTACATTGACTACTGCTGTATTTTTATATAATGCGTTAAACGGAACAACTTCCACATCAAATTATGGCGTAATGTAACAATATTATGAGATAGGTATTAGATATAAAATCTAACTGAAATTAAAATCTACTGATGGCCAACTATTTGTTTTCCATGTATTTATATATTTTTGCACATTTATCTATCGGCATTTTTTGATCTATTGATTTTGTCGCGTGGGCATAGGACCTCGAAAACGATCCGTGAACGGTAGGCATTTCGTGTTGTTTTCTAAAATAAACTTGAAATTGCAAGTGGTGCACGTGCACCACACTACCACTTACTCTGCTCCACCCGTGCCTACGGGCGTGATATGCAGTCGTAAGGGTCGTATTTAAAATTTTTCCGACCAGAGGTAACAACATTTTACCGCCCCTATTGCCTACAGCAGGGGTCGGCAACATTTTGAACCACGCGGGCTATATTTTTTTTTCTTCAAATGTTTATCAAAGGTCAAATTTTTACATATGATATATACTAATAATTGCATTGTTATTATATTTGATTATTTTACATAGAAATATAAGTGTAAAAAATACGAATGTTACCTAGTGGAAAAAATTTAATTTTTTAACAAATTAAACATAATGGCTTACCTTTGTTTTCGACGAAAAAGTATAAATCAATCCAAGAATTATTAAAAAAAAAACAATGTTCATTAAAAATTTTTCTTGTTTTAGTCGCCATAATGTTTGGATTTACTTGTAAAATGAAACTATTACAAACGTAAACAGACACGTACGGGCGTAATCACGGTGTAATACTAATTGCTACAAACGCAAAGTAACTATGACCATAGATTAAATATATTAGATACATATGTATTAAATACATAGATTAAATATATTTAAAATTTTAATTTTTAAATATATATAAGTATATTTAATTTATCCTATGACTGAGTAGTGCAGCCATCATTATCTTCGACTCCGATTAGATAATAATAACAATTTTATAGATCAAACTGACTATATAACTATATAGAATATATATCAACTATTAACGATTAGGTTAGAGTTTATTAATAAAGAAAAAAGAATTGAATAGTATTGAAAATTGTATGAAAAATTTTATTGAACAAAAATAGAACACAAAAATTAACCACCTTTGCGGGGGCCATAAAAAATAGCTTCGCGGGCCACGGGTTGCCGACCCCTGGCCTACAGTGTAAAACTGAAAATAAGTGTCTCCAACTATTCAATAAAAAGCAATTCGTTTTCGCCGTTTCAGTACTCTGTACACAATATTTGTAATTAATATAAAATCCAAAATAATAACTGCGTTGTAATTACTTATATATAAAAAAAGTTATAGAAAATTGTCTTTCGTTAGACTAATGGTGTTACCCTTAAATAATTTAGTACCTTTCGGTCTGAATGTCCCATCCCCATAAAAATCAAGATTAAACCATTAACTATATCTCAATAAAATACGATGTCAAATAAAATACACTTAAATAGGTATAAAATGTGTACGCTACTAGTTAATATAAACGATTTTATAGTATCTATAACATTTATTTTTTATACAATTTAATTTATTCAAAAATAATTGTCCGTTGAGAATGTAAAAAAAAAAAAATCGATTTCATTTTATTTAGAATCACCGTAAAAATATTGCCACCCTCTTAAATATTTCAGGGGGGGGGGCTATTGCTCCCCCGAACCGCCCCATAAATATGGCCCTGGCAGTCGTCGACGGAGCAGTGTTTTCCCGGTTCCCGACAGATACGAGTGTTCGTTCTGCCGCGCGGCCGATCGACGATACCACGACACGACGATACTACCACGGAATTGATAACGTTCAGAAAATGTTACGATAACACCGTTATCGCATGAAGGGACGGCTGATAACGATATCGTGTTCATCTTTGATTTCTTACAGACTTTTACTATTGTCAACTGTGAAAAACGTTTGTTCGCCATTTCATTATTTTTTTTTTTTTTTTTTTTCAAAACTTATATGACCGTAAACGGTTTGGGTATCGGGAAAGGGCGCGCGCTCTGCGTCTTATCGCATCATATCCGCGGACTTCCGGCGGCCTCGAACGCAACAGTTGCGCATTACCGAGATGCCTACAAAGATCTCCTTTGCAATAATTCTTCATAGACCTTGGTGCATTGCAACCGCGGAGTATAGATTACGGCACACCACAGCTGCGAGTTCGAGAAGTGCATGCCATTAAATCGTCCGTTGATTTCGGAAAATGCTTATCATAATCGCCTGCCGTCCGTGTCGTCGTCTCGTTTGAATCCGGTCGGTTCGGTGCACGGTCCGTGTATGATAACACAATATTAGATAATACAATCTATATGAAAAAAAAAAAAAAAAAAAAAACCTCATAAAAACCTTGGGATCGGTGTTCATGTCGGTCACGCGTTCGTCTCCAGCGCTACTATTCGACCGTCGCAGCAGTTGATCCGTTCCCTTCTGTCCGCGTGCACGTGCTCTCCTTCGCCCGACACCGTCCGTCTCGCGCAGTCTTCGCTTCTTCTCCGTTCGCCGCACCGTCAACGTCATGCGTCTGGGCGCCGTCGTTCCAAACTTCTCGGCCGTATCCACCAAAGGCCCTATCAACTTCTACGAATGGATCGGCGAATCGTAAGTCGTCAACACGGTCAATCCCGATTCCCACGAAATCTCCCTGCCGCGTACCTACCTTATTGCGAACCGTTTTGCTTTCGACGGTACCTTGCTCGTTGTTTTTCTGTCCGCGACCGTTTCGACACCCGAACAAGCTGCTCGTCCGAATCCATTGGACAACATTATCACAATGTTCTTTCATAACTAACCGATCGCACCTATTATAATAACGTGTGGTTCTCTCCGTAGGTGGTGTGTGCTGTTCTCACATCCTGCCAACTTCACTCCGGTTTGCACTACCGAGCTGGGTAAAATGGCTGTTTTGGTTGACGAGTTCAAAAAACGCAACGTTCAACTTTTGGGTTTGTCTTGTGATGCGCTGGAAAGCCACGTCAATTGGATAAATGTAATTATTTATTTCATTTTTATTTATATTTTAATATAACGCCTTAAGAGCAAATAATACGTTAAGATGATATATATATATATATATGTATAAATTAAATTAACGGTTAGATAAAAAAAAATTCAATAATATTTAAATCACGTTTCAACTCGGCTAATTTGGCTCTAAATATATTATAAAAGAAAGCATTGTATGAGCTACATTTTGTGCACAAGATTTGGTGACATTTCAACACATTAATGTAGTCATTATTTTTACATCAAGTATGAAATCTGTCCAAGTCCATTTGTAGTTTTTGTGAGTTTTCAATAGAAATGATCAGTTAGGTTTAGGTTAGGTATTGGGTTCAAATATATTTGTATGAGTTCAAGTTGTTGACAATTGTTATTGACTTTCAGGATATCAAATCATATTGTATGGATATTAAAGGAGATTTCCCATATCCCATCATCAGTGACAGTTCACGAGAGTTGGCTGTACAATTGGATATGATCTCTGAAGAAGACAAGGATAATCCTGAACATGCCATGACCATAAGATCTCTTTACATTATTGGACCGGATAAGAAAGTTAAGCTCATGATGATCTATCCAACGAGCACTGGTCGTAATATTCAGTAAGTATTAATATTCATTAAACCGAGTTATTTAAATTGATCCTTATAACAGTTCACTTAAAGAATTTTGACATTCTAAAAAATACAAAATCAGCTAATATCCGTTTAATATATACATTTGTATTTATAAAAATTATAGTAGTGTATAATAGTATTTCTCTATCTCGAGGTCTTGAAATATTTATTTTACTTAAACTATTTTTTTTGGGCCTTAATTTATTTATATATATATATACATGTTAGAAGTTTAATTATATTATAAAGTATTTTCAAAAATATATTAAAAAACATATAGAAACTATTAATAAACTACCAAGCAAATAATTTACTTCTTGGAAAGTCTAGAATTGAAGAATTTTAACCATTATATTTTTAAAGCAAATGACTTTTTTATTTATTTATAATACTTATAATATCTATACTACTTAGCATGATAAGTATAAGTGATAAAAGATAGAAAACATGATATACATGATATATGACTCTTTGCTTGAGGTAAAAAAACAAACAACTTAAGTATTATTTTTCTTAAGATATTTAATCAATCATATTTTTAATATTACAGAGAGATTTTACGTTGCATTGATTCCCTTCAATTGTGTGATAAAAATAAAACTGTTGCTACTCCTGTAAATTGGGTGGTAAGTAAATATTTTAGCTAACTAGGAGCATGTACATTTACATTAAATTGGTGTTCATTTTAGCCTGGTGAAAAGGTGATGATCGTGCCAACAGTAAAAGATGAAGACCTTGATAAACTCTTTGAAAATGGCTATGAGAAAACATCAGTGCCATCAAAAATAAGTTACTTAAGAACAACACTTGATTACTAAATAAGATAATACTGTAGAACTTATTATCTAAATTTATATTTTTTGAAAATGTTGAAAATTTAAATCTATTAATATTTAAAAAATTAAGTAACTGTTCGAATTTATTATTACATATTAAAAATATTAAATATAGTGATTGTGTAAATGGTATAACAAATTTTGTTTAATATACTTCATTCTCACATTATTTTATTTTATGTTTTGCTAATACTACCGTTAATACAGAATAAATTAGTATATAAAACTGACAAAATAAACTTAGAATATAAGTATAAAAATTTAATTTTCATAATAAATAACTGGTAAAATCTCACATAAATTTTTATCAACTAATTTTATTTTAAATGGATTAGCTTTTAAAATGTAATTAAATCAATTTATCTATATTGCGCTATCAAATTTATTTTTAACTATGGTGACTGAATTTAAATGTTTCTATTTACTAATGTTTTCTGATTTATTTGTTTTTAAATTCATTGATAGATAATTCTTATTTTTTAAATAATGTAAATCATAAATGTTATTGCATTTGACTTGAAACATTTAACTTTAAATCAGGCCCTATTTTTATGTACATCCCGACACACAATGTGCACTACGGTCTACAAAACAAAAATTAAATAATAAGCCAACTACTAGGAAATATGAATATTATTTATTTTTTTTAAATTTAATGCATATATATATATATATATATATTATGTATATAATATATTACTTTTTCTTAGATAGTAGCGAGACCAAATTTTCATTTAAAGCAGTAAAATCAAGTGTGCAGTCCGAAATTTTACAAATAATAGGGCCTGCTTTTAATGAAGTATATGAAATGTTTGATTGTCAAAAATACTTATATGATATTTACCGTTCTTGTTTTTAATTTTTCTAGTTGAAAATCAATAAAAATAATATGGAAATAAATTAACATCACTTAATTACTTCAATATATCTATCTTTAGTTTAAAAGGTATTTTTAATAACTTGTTAATAATTTAAAAATAAAAATTTAAACTTAATCAAAAAGAACTTTCCTTGAAACTTATGATCTCGTTATGCATAAATGCTTATCTTTTAATTAAAGTATAAAAACTCTTAATGATATTGACAAATTGATTGTTTTGTAAGACATTACTATGTTAATTCTGAGGTTAAATTATTATAATTTATGATAAATTGATGTTATCATATAAAATATGTAACTAATAACATATAATAAAAAATGAACTTTAAAATATAAAAATCTTTCTAATCAAAAATGATTTTTAATATAATTGTGAATTATTATTATGGAATAGATTTCAATGCAAATTTAATTTTTTTTTTACATTTAAAAATATTGCTTTCCAAGTACAAAGTTCAATTTATACATTAGGAATTAGAAGATATAACTTATTTTATATTTTTAAAACTTTTTGACTTTTTCAATGCATTTTTATGTTTTTAAGTAATTTTTATATGAAAATGGATAACATTTGATAACAATTTAGGTATAATTCATATATTCATAAATTTATACATTTCCACATGACATGTTCAGTGTGGTCCATTATTCTGTTGAAATAAATATAATTAAAGAAATCCATATGAAACACAAGGTTGACTAATGAAACTATCATAATTATATATTAATTTTTCAGAAACAATTTTCAGTGTTAAAAGAAGATAGAAGAAGATTAATAAAATTATACAAATAATAGGAATAAGAATTTATATAATAACAAAACATGTTTTTTCAACGATAAAAATAATTATAACATTATAGTTGTAACATAACCAAGAGCACTGGGAAAAATATTGAACAGAACTCTAATTTGAAGAGCCATAGCCTAATGGTATATAAGATTAAGTTCAAACAGAGATCAGCACACAAATTGTATAGGTGTTATAATCTTTCCTGTTACAGCTGATAAGTGCCATATAGTTTTACAGTTACTATAGTTATACAGTGGTGTTATATATATTAAAGCTATGATTAAACTATTCATATACTGATATGAGTGTGTGCATTACCATACGTACATTTTCTTTTTTATAATTATAATTGTTAACATTATATGTTGAACAAGCAAATACATTGTCTATAAAGTATAAATAATTAATTCCTAATAAAAAACGGTTAATAACAAGTATTAATAAAAAAATTCAAAATTTCTATTATTTATTATTTATATTTGAAAAAAATGAATAATCTTTTCCCTCTTAAATAATACATATAAAAAAATAATAAGGGAAATATGCTTAAGGTATTATAATGCATCATTCAAAACAAATTTCTGTTATGAGTGCATTAAATCATATTTCTTTTAAAATATTTTTCTTGTTTTTTAGAACATTTGATACCATTTCCTAATTATTGCATTACGTCAATAATGGTCTATGAATATAAAGAATCGTAATGCACATGAAAATCACTCATTAATGTATTATTATTTACGAATTATTTCTATTATTTACAATTATTTCTACTCCAGTCTTATCATAATTCTGAATTTGGAGTATTTTAAAATTATTTTTATTATTTCGCACCAGTCTCAAAAGTAGTGAGTAGTTTGAGGGAACAGTTATATTTAAAGAATGTATAAGTTTTCTTAACAAAATTAAACATTATTAAAATCGAAATATACTTATGAAATAATATTATGTTTTTATCTAATAAGCATTCATAAATATTCTATTACTATAATTTCTCCATTTCTTGCTCTTGAAAACACTAAAGTTAAGGCCTACCACATCATCGAGTAATCATGAGAGAAAAAAAATTGCTAAAAAACCGTCACGAAAAATTGTTGTATTTAGTTTTAGGCACAAGATGAGTAAAAGAGTGCGAGAGAGAGAGAGAACGGATTGCCCGTATGGAAAGTATATTTACGGTAAAATACGACGATGTGTAAGTTAAGTTGTCTATAGATTACGTTTCTGGCGTATGTTTGTAATGTTATTTTATAATTTGTGATTTTAAACGATCAGAGTGTTTCGGACATGTTCGTAATGCGAGTGAAGATGTGTCGGAAAATGTTCCGACGGGATGAAAAAGAAACGACTGTTCGGCGGACCGAGGGCTTGCAGACGGGTGTACATCCGGGGTTAAGGATATGAGACGGGCGCACGGTGGAAGTGTAACAATATAATAGACTTAGGACAGAGAGAAATTGAGTGGTTTACCGTTAGCGCCAGTTGAACACTGACCGCACCGATCGTGTAACACTCGTGCGCGGACGCGAACCCAGCGTAAAGGCGTTGGCTGCGTTTGTCGATTTTTTCATCCTCGGCGCTCCAACCACGACGATATAGACGGGTGTAAGATGGTACGCGCAAAGAAGATAAATACCGCACCGAATGAAATACATACAATAATATAATAATAATAATAATATACATAAACGCATGTGTACAGAGATTTATCGGACAGTCTATATACAGAAAATTATATTTTCACGTTTCGAAGGTACACGTCGGTCTCCAGTGAAAAGTCAGTCTATTCGATTTGTACAATAAAAACGGGTCGCGCCTTTTGCGGCCGGTCGAACGCCGTTCGACGAGCACGTGCGCGACTGGTCCCGGCCGCGTTGTGGCCGCGCGCACGAGCCGCTGACGTCCCGTACGGGACAACGCGGTCGCACGTCGTACGGGGACGGAACGTTTGCGCGACGGAATCGACGGAAAACTAACGGACGGGAGACCACTACGCCGATTCGAGTCTGAACTGGTCGGCGATTTCCTTGAGCGTCTTGTTCTCGGTCTCGGGCACGCACAGGTAGAAGTACACGAGGCTGACGAATCCCGTGACGCCGAACCACACGAACATGTAGTAGAAGCCCACCAACGCTTCGAAGTCCTCGTAGTACTTGGTCATGGCGAAGCACAGTAGGAAGTACACCGCGGAGCAGATGCTGCAACCCAGATTCTTACTCCTGCGAAACGTTTTCAACGCGATCAATAAGGCCGGCCGTTTGTTTCGCTCGTCGAACTTATAATATAGTTATTATCGTTATTTTTATACGCTTTCGTTCGTATCGGGTATAAACGTGCGTACTTATACGTCGGCCAGTGTTTAACGTATCGAAAACAATCACTTCCGGAGTCTCTGGATACCTAATCTATTGCGAGAATACATTCATATACATATATATATATATATATATATGTATATAGTATACTATATATATATATAGTACGTACGAACCATGTCGATGGGGGATGTTGTTTTGATAGATTTCACGACTCGATAATTTTTAATTGACTATAATTACTGTTTTTTTTTTTTTTTTATAATTAGCAACCGTCTGTTTTGTTAATGAAACAAAATGCATTATTTTAAATACCGGAAATTAATTTGCAGCGTAGCGCGGTGAGGATGACACGGTCCTTACTCGTTTCGGGAACAACAATTATTTTGGCGTCTCCGAACTTTCCGAACGAATGTTGTAGTAGCTCATGATCCGTACGCACGCGTGGTGAGAACATTGAATATTGTTTCGGGAAAAATGTTTTAGGACCGCAGGGTAAATTAATGCTAGTGGATGCGATTTTTTCGCTCAGTTTAACACCGGTTTTTGAATGTTGTGAACAGCTGCTGCTGTTAATCGGGCTCTGTCCGTCCGGGCGCGTTTACGAGGGAAAACGTTAAGAGTGCAAGGATGTATACGTACTTCATCGGGAATATTTCGCTAATGAGAATCCATCCGATCGGCATTATGCCCATCGACGAGGAGATCATCGTCAAGAAGAACAGGATCAGTTTGGTCCAGGACGCGTAGTAGGAAACGTCGAAAAACAGTCCGATGACTCCGATGAGCAGGAAGGACAGCGAACAAATCCCTATGGTCGACAGCAGCAGGCGCCTCTTCCCCAGGCAGTTCACCAGCAGTATGGTGAATATGTTTCCGGCGACGCTGCACGCCGTGTACACGGACTGCGGATGAACGGAAAAAATATGTTAAAACGTTTTGCACACCTCGTGTGATCGTTTTCGATCGTATGATGTGCTCACCACTGCCCACTCGGCCGTTATCGGGGTGTCGTCCTTGATTGTTCCCGTCACTTTTAACAGGTATTGCGAGTACGGCACGCCGGACAGCACGTTCGAGAAGAACAAGTAGATTATAGCCAGCCTCAGCGGTTTCCACAGTTCCGGGTGTGAAAAACGGTCTCTAAACGAAGACGCTTGCTTTGCTTCTTCTGAAAAACAACGGAAATGCGACGGTAACATGTATTAATGCGCGTTCAATACGAACACGTCCAGACAGAACGCATCGTATTGCGATTCCGTAATCCGTAATTATTTTCACTTAGGTACATATTCAACGGTGATCGATGGCCATGGCAATAAGCGTATTGCACTCAATGCAAACGGTAAAATTTGTTTAGCGCATGTCGGAGTTAAAAAATATTGATAAGTAATAATAATTATGAAGGCTGAAATTACAGATTGTTTTCATTGATTTGTCTCGCCGTACAGCCGAACAGCGAATAGAAGAATTAGTTGCGCACCGAGAGTAACACGCAAAGAAGCTTGACGACGAGTGTATGGTTATGAGACCGTAATAAGTTAATGGGGACTAGAAATAAGTTAACAGTAAAAAAAAAAAAAATAAAAAGTTCACGCCGATAAATTAAGCATGCATTTAGTTTATACTTCGTAGAGCAATGAAAATACTTAAATAAGTAAAGGATATCCATAGGATCTCCTTCTCGGAATTAATGTTTAACGTACAACTTGGTTTTTAACAAACAAAATTCTAGTATTCAGTCGTTTGAAACATGTACACAGCACTTTCGTGCACGAGAAAAACAATAAATAACCACGTATGACTATTAACCGGTTGTTTGATGGTTCAACAAAATAAATACCTGATTTTGTGGATTTCGACACGTATTGGATTATCTCTTGGAACTCCAAGGCACATTTCTCTTCGCTCGCGCATCCCCGGATCTTTCTCAAAACCTTTCTCGCCTTTTCCACCTTGCCCCTTGACAACAGCCACATGGGCGAGTCCGGTGTCTGTTGAACAAAAACTCGTTTTACATACACCGCTACGAGATGAGATATTTATACTGTTGTAAACGATTGTAACGTAAGAATATGCGAGTCCCGTACACATCACGGAATCGGAAGACAAAACGTAACTGGTAAGCGTTTTTATCGTACCGTTCGCTGACCACGTAACGGTTAAAACCGTAGTAGCGCATTACTGCGGCGATCGGACATGAACGCGCACGTTTTTCGAAAACAATCATTTACCCTTTGGTATCGGTTCGTTCCTTCGGACGGTTATAATTACCGTTAGACCGTACGCACACCAGGCGAAGCTGTGGAACGTAATCATAAACGGTCTCCGTCCGTTGTCCGAAACTACCGCGAAAGTCGTTCTGAAAGTGCCGACCGCTATGCGCACTAACTACTCTCGTGGTGTACCCCGAGACGGCTCCGCGTTCCGGTGCGCTTACGATCTAGACACGTATCACGAAGAACGTCAAGGCCGTGGCTAGCAAAACATTTGTTTATGATGGGGAGGGGCTTACAGTACAAATATGTTTTACGACTAGGAAATTTTAAAATTTCAAACGTAACAGACATTCGAAATCATTCGACACATATTTATTTATCGAGAAAAAACTTCGGGGGAGGTAGAGGGTTTAGAACCCTAACCAACCCCCCCCCACCCTCCAAGTTACGGCCTTGATCGCCATACTCGGCGTCCGCGTCCGTACTCACCAGTGACAGTGCCACGACGTTGATCAACGGGAACACGATGCTGCAGATCAGCGATTTCTTCCAGCTGTCGGTGATTGCGTACGCGGTGGACACGAAGAAGGTCCCGGCGAAGTAGAACACGTTCAGGGCGGACGTCAGTGAGCCCCTGAGCTTGGGCTCGCACACCTCGCCGCTGTACGATATGCACAGACCGGTGGCGCAACCCGTGCTCAGACCCATCAGGAACGAGCACATGTACAGGGTGTTCACCGAGACTGGGAACAGCACCACGATCAGCACGGACGAGAACTGCACGACGTTGGTCAGCGCCATGCACACCCGGTGGCCCAGCCGCGCCAGCACCAGCGACAGAAACAAGCTGCCGAGGGGCGGCGACAGGTACACCAGACTCCCTGAAAACAGTATCGTACCGGGTGAATGTTGGTTGATTTGTGATGTTGGTCTCGTTGGAATCGTTTTTTAATTTTTTTTTTTTTTTTATCGTGCGCACCACAGGGCTGTGAGAATTCTGAATCATCGGTAGTGAACATCGATATTATGATATTTTAAAAACGATGTTCTTCGAAATGAAGGTAGACAATTTTAATAATTCTAATATTTTTTCAAGCCGTAACCCCGCATCGGATATAATTTATTATTTAGATGCATTATATTAACAATGTTACACTTTTTAAAAATATCATAATATTTATAATAGCAGATATTTTGATTGGAGCCATTAGCTTACAGAATTTCAATTATAAAATAAAACGATTTCTAATTATCTTTTTAAGATGGACGCTATTTAAATTGGTTTCGTGATTTAAGGTTGTTTCCATTCGACGTTTATACTTCTTTAATCCTCAACGGCTGATTCAATTTTTAGGTTCCATGTTGAAAATAAGTACGGTATGGATTACAAAATTCAACAATAATAACTATAAATAATATTGTGTTTTAGCGATGGATAGGGGAAAGTTGCGTGATATATGTTTGAATATATGATCTCAATGGTCGTTTACAAAGAAGAAGAATAATATTATTATCACTAATACGTATTGGACTGCCAACGATTTATTTGAGTATACGTCAAATTATTTTTTAAAACTCGGTTATAATTTATTATCGCATGTCACGTAAAACGTTTTAATACTCGAACGTTGATATTGCTGGTCTACTTATAACTTTTTAGATTTATTTATATTTTTATTGATGTAAGTTCGAGGTAAAGTTCAGGTTATCGTATCCAGTGTGATGCATGAGCCTAACGCATCATTTGATAGGTACATGATAAAATAAATTATATTCATTACAAAGAACATTGCAACGTTGAATAAATCAAAAACTAATAATTATCAATACGACTCCGATTAGAAATGTATGCAAATTTTTACATGTTACAAATCGTAGTTATTAATAGTTATTCTATCTACATGATTTAGTTTAAAAAATTTATGTCTAGAACAGATAAACTTTGCCCTAAACAATCATTTTATTTATTTTTAAAATATTTTAAACCACTTATGAGCAGGGCCCGTCCCGAAGATGAAAATCAAGGGGGGGGGGGGGTGAATAATATGAAAAATGCCAACTACAAATTTTTTACTCAATGTATGTAGTAGATTGTACTACATGTAATGTATTAATGTAATAAACTAACTATATGTAATCGTATTTTTACTTTTTAACATGTATATATGTGTAAGTGTCGCACGTTCTTAAAATTGACAGTTTAATTATGTATATATAATAATAATATTTTATAATGTATAATAAGTAGTTATATAAATTTTATTCGTGTATATACTGTATTACGAAATATGTAATATTTGTTTCCAATAAGTAAAATTAAGTCCTTCTAGGCTATAATGAAACAAGTCCGACTGCCGACTGGTGTTTTTGTTGGGGGTGAGACACCCCCCCTAGACCCCCCTTCGGTACAGCCTTGCTTATGAGTTACACCATCAAAGGTTAAAACTGCGGTTTCTCAATATTAATAGCACATTAATAATAATGAATCTCAAGGCGCTTAATCTGCATGCGTTCATTAATGTAGGAATTGTATTATACCTTACTCATACACACACACACACACACCCACACTTGGGGTGGCAAAGGTATTTTTTTGATGCAAGTGCTCCTTTAAAATTTGTTAGAAAGACGGTGGGTATTGCCATACTGTGTTTATAATATTGTAGTTTGTTAGAATAGATCAGGGGTCTCCCAACTTTTTCCTTCGAGAGCCACCAAAAATATCCAAAATTCTTAGTGGACCAAAACTATGACACAGCCGACACAGATAATAATTAACACGTGTGTTCGATAACGACATTAGAATATTACACACATCATTAGATTATTTGCCGTTCATAGGAGAACCGATTATAACTTGTTCGTGAGCCGTGGTTTAGCGACCTTGGAATAGACTATCGGAGTGAAATAAATATTATCTTATTGAGTACTTAAAATATACAAATATAGGCACATTTTGTAAGCATTAATTTTCACGTTTTAGTAGATTATATAAGCCCATCAGTGAAGGTTTGATAGAGGAAGGGTGCCTTATCTACATTTTTGCTCTTTGCCAAAATTAAGTTCAACACACCATTATTGCGTAATGTATACAATATTGTTTACGTTTTGAACATAACCTAATTTGGCAACCAAATGGTTGACCAAAACGATTAACGAAGACACGAGAATATAATGCACCGCGTTCTTGCATTCGTAAAATAGTGTTGGAAATCGGTAAGTAATTAAATATTTTTTATCGAACAATAGATATTTAGTATCATTTATGCATCGTGACATATTGGAATTGTTCAAATCTGGGAGTATTTTATAATACGATATTAGTCTGACATGTTATCAACATAATGTCGAGAGTACAATTTTAACTTCTAATCAAATCACGTTTAAAGTACTGTAAGCATACCTACCACGAAAAATCAACATATCTTTGTTGATCTTCGTATATATGCACATTTTACAAATATATTTTACGGTTTTCATTTGAACTACTGAAATTTTTCAAATTCCATTCAGAGATAAAGCACAATATTACGTATGAAAAAAATGAAATAAATAAATATCAGGAATCTCTACTTTGTTGAGTATTTTTATATGGCTTATAAAGTAAAAAAAAAATATATACATATTTGGTAGTAACTCGCGGACAATAATAATCATTGATATTTTCACATGTACACATAAATACCTAATAACACGCATTTTTCAGGTTTATATTGAGTATATTAGATATTTCGAAACATTGATTTTTAATATAAAATCAATGATTCTCGGTGTAATACTAGCATAACTCACCGATCCACGACAACTGTTCTTCTGTAAGTTGGATTTCGGTATCATATGACTGGTTGCTATTTGATTTCTGAAAAGCCCCGATGATCGTCATCGGCATAGCTATGTTTATTCCTTGCTGGGCGTTTAGAAAATACGTTGTCGTCAACACCAAACACTGTAAATTATGACAATGGTCGGATTACGATTACAGAAATAGTATGTACTAGGTTGTTGTCATGTTTCGACGTAGAAAAAATGTCTCATTTCTAGTTCGTATATTTACTAATCATAAATATAGTGTTTTACTGGTACCATAATATATTTTATATTATATATTATAAAATATACAGTTTTCATGCATATTTAATGTATGACTACTACTCGCAAACACGTCTATACTTGATTAATTTTTTTTTGTAATCAATGGAACTAAGATTTTTACCATGGTTAACTAATAACTATATAATGCATGTTATAATGTTTTACTTGTGCTAATGTAGATTTTAGTCCGTAGGAAAAATCCATTCCTTGTTTCTTTTGCATTTTTTGACACTGAAAATAATAAAATATAATTAGTTCATCGGAATAGCCCGCTCGAACTATACATATGTTCATAATAGTTGTCAACAAGAAAAAATATTTCGTGTGGAATAATTGCAGTTAACACTCAACAAACAATTGATCAAGTAAACTCACAGAAAAACGTTAGTAGTTTTTTTATAACAAATAGCATAATTTTTCAACACCATTACGACTAAAATTATTATTATTAATGTTTGGGATTTCAGGTAACAGCTATTCAATTATCATTCTTCTGAGCCCGATTTATTGAAATGAAAGATTAATATTTTTTATAATAATTATATTTAATATGATATTATTATTGTTTGGTTACCAACAAACTATCTATATTTCAGTATTTATAAGATCGTAAAGAAAATGGAGCGAAATGAATACATAAATTATTTATGAATTTAAAATGGAATAATGAAATCAAGTGTTTTTCAATTCTAGTCGAAAAACCTAAAATAACTATTAAAAAACAATATGATCTTTATTTTCTAATAATTCTCAAAAATGTTGCTTAATATTGAATCACATGAATTGATTTCTAAATAATGTGATGCGATTGTCGATTATAATGTCCATTTACAATCAAACAAAAACTTTGTACTTGGTAATAGTTAATATATGGGTTGTTTTTAATTGCATCACGAACGTGCTAAGTATTTCAAACACGAGCGACTTGTATGATGGACGCATGATATATACGGAATCGTAAAGAATGAAAAAAATGTATTCAAAATGTAATTAGGAACGAATAATAAAAATATTGATATTTAAAAGTGACAGCCTTGTGTATAAAGAAAATCTGATTTTTGGCAATATTCAATTATGATTTGAAAAAATAGATCGATTATTCAAGAGGAATTTCGTGTTAATATTATTGGATTTATTTTTTTTCAAAGAATCAAACAATATAATATATTATGTAGGAGGAGTCTTAGTATAAAGGTTGTGTTTACAGACAATCATTATTGACTACTTAGTAAAATTAGAATTGTTTTTTCTGTTATTATTATAATTAGTTTGTTTATCATACTGTAACAATATAATTTCAATAATTATTTTTAAATAAGAGCAATTTTGTAATAAGCAAGCCGCATCTCATTAAAATATTATAAAAGTGTCAACGGTGAACACCCGTTTCTCATGTAATTAATGTTTGATTACGAGCCTTTAATAACTGACATTTGACATATTTCACTGTTAAAGACTCTATTATAAATTTTTTTTTATTGCTTACGAAAACTTTAAAATAAATAAAGGAAAAACCATAGCCTGAACGGACAAGCAGTTCGATCTATACGGTGTAAGTTTTGATAATTTTTCAAAATTTAACAATTAAGTATTTTAAGGCGTTTTTTTCCATAATAACTGACGTAATTCTGAAAGTATAGTTTTTGTATCCTAAGCAAAATTATGCAAAACATTGGTCTAAACGACCACACACGTAAAAAGTTACATATTGATGTACTATTGTTTGATTTTTTTTTGATTTTTATTATAGTACATCTACATAACTTTAAACAAAAGTGACTTACTGTACCGAGAATGCAATCCCAAGTCTTAAGATGAACTTCAAAAAAAGGTGAACTTTTGAATAATCTTTTACTATTCTCGAGTATTTTTTTATCGTGTACTTCTAAATGAAACACAAGCGATTAACAATAGTAAAATCAAAAATTAAATTTAGGATTTATTAAGAGTAAAGTTAACAGTTATTGCGCTCTTCCATTTTTATTTAGCACGTGCGATAAACTATCGTATGTATATATTATATATAGTCTAAGGCGGACGCGTGTACCAACTCAATGGTTTAAAAAATACTAGTATAACAGTTGTGATTTTCAGTGGTATATGTATCACCTAAAAAATTTTTTATCTACTAAATTTGTTACAGGGTGTGGCATAAAGTTCCACTGATAAAGTTATGTATACAAAAGGTCATTTCCATTTCTATTCAGATAAAACGAATTCATTTGACTTGAGCAGCATCATGACTCATCTTATATTAATTATTTATACAATACAAATTAGTGCATAATATTAATTACATTTTATCTGTGAGAAAACAAATCTATCATATGATATTTTACAGATTATTTTTTATCGATTTCGGAAAAATTATGAATTTACCGAGGTTTTCAAACAGATACTACGAATAATTATAGTTCATTTAATTTAATTATTAAAATTTAAATAGATACGGGGTTTAGTGACACCATCAAATATGTATCTACCGCCGCAGTGCACGATCTCATTCAAAACCTATAATGTAGGATTTTGACAAGTTTTTTAAAAATAATTTTCATCGTGCGAATTATAGCACTAATTTTGTATAATCAAGTTATATCATGTCATAACGTAAAATTGTTTTTGTTTTGTTATTTTCTCTTTTTTTAACAATCAATGTCAAGTAATAAATTTTATTTCATATTTTTTTATTATGTTAAAATTTTCTGGATCTATGCATGTTGTAAGACTAACAATCTCTTATCTATCAATGTTTATTTGTTTCCTTATCTTGGTATTTCATGATTAGATGTATGTATTGACGTGCGTTCAAAATTAGATATTCATTGTTCTTATAGGCTTTTTTTGTTTATAACTCAGGTGATGTAACTGATTCATATAACAATACTTTGAGGCAATACTATAATCAAAGCTTACTGAAAACTATACATAAAAATTCAAAATCAAAGCTATAAGCAAACGCATATTGATTAATATTATATGTAAGCGTAATTTTAATCGTATTTTAGAAAAAATGCATCAGTATTAATTGATTAAATATTAAATCAAATAATTATAATTAAATTATATTTAATAAAAAATGTTCTTGAAAAATTGTTAATTAACATGTCTTATTTTATTAATATTGTAAGTAATGTCTAATAATTAAAGGATGCAATTTGTATTTATATTTTATAAAATTGAAAAATTATGATTTTAATCGATTTCGTTAAATATTAAAGTATATAAAAAATATGAGGTTGGGTATTAAAAAAAGTATAATCTCATAATATAAACAAATAAAAAATTACTAAGTTAAGTTCTTAAGTTTGTAGCACAGACAAAGCATCAATATATAAACATAATTAATACTTTAATTACAATTGTTCACTATTAAAAGCCAATAATTGCCCTATTTTAGTTTATGTTTATTGTTAATTATGCATCGAATACAAGGCTGGCCATATTCCTATTTTGCAGACTAATTAAATAATCTTCACGTGATCACAAGCAAATCTAATGACTTCTATCAATTCAAATTTATGCGAGATAACGAACTGTTGCTTAATACTATATCATTCAATAAAGGTACCTACTACAATTTCACAAAATTATTTTTTTTCAAATATATTAAGAAAAATGTCATTAAAGTTCCATGAAATAATTCATTTTTATAAAAAGTAAAAAATAAAAACCAAAATAAATTTTAAACTATAGTAACAATAAACATCTACTTACTTAAAAGATTAGGATTTATTATAAACTTTCCTTACAAGATATCAGTATCAGAACTTGTTAACTTTATACATTTCTTAATCCATGTTTTTTAATATTTTATAATTAATAATTAGATACATTTATAAACAATTATGATGATCTATGAACTTGATATAATATTACTATATGAAATCAAATAAAATATAAATCATAAATACATACAATAGAATTATTTTTATTTTTATTTATAAATTATAAATTATAGTTTTTTAGCAAAGAAATATATCATATTTATATATTAATCATTATCAATTTAATTGACTATATTCTAGTGTTGACTTTATGAAATATATTAAAAAGTCCAACGTCTTCAACAATCATTTTTATATAAATATTGCACGTGAAATTTTTCGTACGGAATCCTATACAACAAGGGTCGGAAACTTGTGGCTCATTAACATGCAATCTATGGCTTTTTAGAAAATGCATCAATATTGAGACTCGTAAAACATAAATTATTATAGTGATAGTATTTTTCAGTTTCTTAATAACGATGATTATTTTAGGTAGAAATTAAATAATATTTTATATATAACGATCCTACAATATTTATTATTAATTTCTATAAACTCTTTATCGTATTAAAATATAACAATATTGTGAACGAGATGTCTTTAAACAAAAAGCGTAAAATTGAAGAGGAAAATACAGGATTTAAGAGTCAACTGATACTTTTGCATTTGTCCAAAACATCATGGGATAATCGAAATGCTTCATTTTTTACTAAAAAAAGAAAAAAGGTTATCCAAAAAATCATTCTGAACATCGTGGTTATGTAGCTTTTTAAAAAAAATTACTTTTTTCTACGAAAAGGTTCCCGGCCCCTTGCTATATAAAATAGTCAATATAAGAAAAAAAAGTTATACGCTTAAAAACTTATTTTTATTAATATTTTGGACCATAGAAATGAAGTTGAAACTATCAGTTTTAAATAACTATATTAATCCCCCCCCCCGTCCCTTCAAATTCACCATAACTTCAAATACCCAACATTTTCAACATCTATAAATAAATATACCATTTTAAATTAAAAAAGATATTTGCCAAGTATATATAAAATATTTAATTTTATCATGTTAATGATCATTTTATATTAATTTTTAACATTTTATCCAATTTTCTTCTGAATTTATCTACTTGGAGTACGCCACTGATTTTGGGGTATTTTGTATGGCGTATTGTTTGGAAATCTCGATTCAAACCATGCAAAAAGTTATGCTTTGAACGTAATTTACATTACATACATTTTTATTTATTTTTAGTTTCTCAATATAAAACTAATTGTGATACTAATTTTTTAAATGATTTTATTTGATTTTAATTGATTTTTTAAATTTTTTTTTTAAATTTTTATTTAGAATTTTATATTTTACTATATTATTATATAAATTTTAGTTTAGAATTTTTATACATTATACTTTTTTATTTATTATTATTTTACTATGTTTATTTATTTTGTTGTCATAATTCTTCACTTATCTATATAGTTTTAATATTATTATCAATTTTTCTTTTATTTGTTGTTATTGTATTGTTTAGTCAGAATATGTTTTAATTAACACTTTGTAAAAAGGCAGATGCCCATTAATAAATAAATAAATAATATTAAACCAGTGGACTTAAGTCAACCTGGAAATTATTTTAGTTATTTCAAAGGTTTATCGACGGAAAATTGCTTTAACACATCTCAGTGATTTCACTCAAACAATTTATTTGAAATAAGTAACGTGGGTTCATACATGTGGGGTGTATCTATATTATATGATTTTTAGTTTTTGAAATTTTTTCAGTTTTTATTTAAAAAGCAAGTACACTATATTTAAGTTGTGTGTCTTTAATAGCTACAATTAATATATAAATACTCACAACTCACAAACAAATTTATGTACTTCATTTAAAGTAATTATACATTTTTGTTTATTACATTTTTATCATATTCTAATAATAATAAATTATAATTTTACTACAGATCAGTGCACAATATACGGTTTCAAATTAAACTTGCCATCGATCAATCACGCTTTACGGTGTTATTTTGTTCATGTACCAATTAATTGCACTGCGTGTTGGCGTGATGGAAAACAAACAATATAATTATAATACATATAATCAATTAATGTGGAGTTATCCGATTAAAAGAAAGACAAAAAGATTAATGTGCTATTATTTTGAAAGTGACAAAAAAAAAGAGAGAAAAAAATCCCTAGTCGTATTATTGTCATATGCTATTATACAAATGATAATCTCATTTAGTTAATGTCATTAGCAGACCCACCTTTAGTGTTTTACTACATTTATTAGCTTTTATTCGTAACAGCTCCTACATTTTTTTAGTCTTATAAATTATATCTAGTGCTGGTTGTAACATATGAATACAATAAAGTTGTAACTATTTTGATCATCAATGTTTAATAGTCAAGTAATTTATCTTTTTAGCAAAAAATTAATGTAAAATAGAATTTTTATTCGCAAAAAAAGTAAAATCTTATTTAACGCTATATCTACATTTGTCTTGAAATGTTATACTCATTATTGTATAGTCATTCATAAAAATATGAAATCTATTATATCAAATGTATTCTAATAATTTTTTAGTTTCACAATGTGTACATCGTTGTTTTTTATTTTTATTAATAATTATTTCAAAAAAATGCATACATTTTTTTAAAAAAAAAATACAAAAAATACTTAGATACAATGGAAAGACTTAAAAGCTAAAATAATTTTTTAATATTATCAACAGTGTAAAAATGATGGTTCCTAATTACATGCGTCCTAATGCGAACACGTATTAGGTCGTTTGATTTTCAGTTTTCATACTTTTAATTCTGAAATGTTCCGAAATCTCGTTCAGTGACTTGTTCTCCGTTTCCGGCAACTGGAAATACATGTACGTCAGGCCGACAAGGCCTAGGGTGCCGAACAAAACAAACGTGTTGTAGAAACCGGTCACCGCCTCGAGATCTAAATAGAACTTGGTCATCAGGAAACTGAAGATGAAGTATGTCGTCGAACTAAAGCCAGCTCCGAAGTTTTTACTCCTGTGCGAAACAACATGGGAAACTCGTATAAGCAAATACATGTATAAGCGTGCGTTAAGGTCATCATCCTTCGATCATAATGGTAATATTGCAATTTGCCAGTGTTCGTGCGGCTCGTGTGATTGGGCCCTGAACACAGCGATGATTTTTAACGGGCCCCCACAAACTAAATTTTGAAAAAGAAATACAATAATAACACTGACCATTGTTTGTTGTCATCAATTTTATTTTTCAACATGATATCCCGTTTGGAAAAGTAGAAAATTACAACCCCAATTATAATCTTCTATTCGCCGTTCGAATTCTATACAAATTTATATACCCATTATATATTAATACCTATCAACAATTTTTTATTTTTCTCCTTTACCCTTTTACCTATAGGTCTCTTACACTGAAAAATAACCAAGAATCCTCGGAGATCGCCGGTAGTCAGGGGGTAAGCCGGCCGACACTTGAAAAATTATCTCACGGAGTTTTTAAGTACCTAGCGGATCAATCGCCAATTTATAAAAAATAAAAAAATAAAAAAAATTTACTAGACCGGTACCGCAATACGCTTATGGTAATCATATTTAGTAGATGCATGCATAACACATATATATGGTATAACATCGATGGCATAGCGCACAAATGTTGAAATTTTTGCTTTTGTAATTTTTAAGTTCTAAAGATATTTAAAGTTATCAAGTTTTCACTGATAACAATCAAAACTGTTCTTTAACTGAGTACTCTTCATGACTTTATGTGCGACATTTATACACAATGTGTATACTGTACAGTCATAGGCGTGCGCAGGGTATAAGCAGGGTACGCAGTGCACACCATGAACCCAAAATTTTTTATTTATTTTTAAAACACAAATTACGTATGAATTTAATAATGAACACATTAAGTATTAACAATGAAGAAGTACTATGTTACAAAAGAGATGAAATAGCTTAATGCAGTGGCGCATTTAAAATATATACGTGCCCCGGGGCAAAATAATTTTTCTGCCCTTCCCCCTTACCAAAAAAAAAAAATATATATATATATATAAATAAATTCAAAGTTAAGCAATAACAAAAATTAATTTTATGAAACAAATTATAAATCAGTTGTTTATTGCGATATTGTATTAGATAATTTTATAGTAATACATATCCTAACGTTAACCTAATTTTTTTTTCAAAGTAAATATTCCTTTCTTAAAATATATATATATATATATTAAATATATAAAATAGAATCAACACTTATTATTTGCACAATGATTAACAATACATGGTTTTTTATTAGATTAAATATATTATATTTATTATTAATTATATATAATTAAATAATTGATAGCTTTTAATTTTTTTCTTGACTTTTGAGAAGAAAAATGTTCAGTAATATCATTAAAATTAATAGTTTTCGTTAAATCAGCTTCAATGTTGAGGGTTGTTAATTAATTAAGACAATTTTCTCCCGTTGTTGATCTTAAATAAGTTTTGACCCTTTTTTACATAGAAAATGATTTTTCTGTTGAACAATTACTCGAAGATGTACATACATAGTAGCATCCTTAGAGCAATAACAACATAAGGATATACTTCAACTAAACTATTCTCTTTTATAAATGCTAACATACATTGAACACTTTTAGGTACAATTTTACTCCTTTTGTAAACTTTTTAAATGTGTTCTAAAGTGAATACCGCGTTCTGTGTACCCGAGTCTTTATTATAAACATCGAACGAAAATATAATATCTTATCTAATAATAAATGTAATGTAGCTATTTTGCTATTTAACTTTTACCTAGGTGACTAGGTATGGTATAATTTTTTTAATTTCTTATTAGACGCTCAACAATATTTTTTAAAATAATAAACAATACCGAAAAAGGTGTGAAAATTAAAAAAATCATGAATTCATCAATAATAAAAGTTAGAATATTTTGCCACTCCTAAAAAAATTTGCCACTTGGGGCATTTGCCCCTTTCGCCCCCCCCCCCCTTAAATGCGCCATTGGCTTAATGCTTTAAACTAATTTTGTTTGATGCATTCAAAAACTCAACTGAACGCAGAATTGCGTTATGATCAATTATAATTAAGAGTATTGATTAATAATAGTATTGTAATTAATTAATTAATTAATTATTTTATTTTATTTATTAATTAATTAATTAATATTGTATCAATTCTGTATTTTCATCGAAGTATATGACAATATTTTTGTTTATTTACACTATATAAATATATATTACTCCAACCATTTCAAATTTTATATATTTAATTTCTTTTTTCATAATTTATTTTAAATTTTAATTATGAAGACGGTTATTATAACAAAGAAGTTGCTCTTCAGTCATTTTTTTTTATTTTAAAGAAAAAATTAAAATTTTAAATCGAACAGTTATTTTGATATTTGCGTGTACATTTTTACCAGCATTTCGAATGCTTAAAATAACTTTCAATGGAGTGGAGGGTGCAGTGGCAGTCCTTTTCATACTCCGAAAAAGAGATATGTGCACGCCTATGTGTACAGCATCAATGGCAACTACAAAAATAACTTATGTGCATAACATATTTTACCAAAAATTTGTCTCTTCCAATACATTATGCGCACTATGCCGTTGACGTACAATTAGATATACTCGTTACTTCATTGGAAACAATTCGCCCATTAGAATCCACGCTATGGGCATGATGCCCATTGACGAGAAAAACGTAGACACGAAGAACATTACGATTTTCATCCACGAGTATACCAGACACGACGAAGGCGAAAAATATCCGACGAATCCGATGGAAAGGTAACAAATCGAGCAGGTGGCCATCGTGCTCAGCGCTAGAAATCTTTTGCCAACGCGGTTTATTAAAAATATCGTCAGCACGTTACCAGCCACTCCGGCACCCATGTTGATTGTCTGCGGAAACACATCACACGTGTTCAATAACCCGGTAGCGGTTGTACTATTCAGTTACTGCTAATGTATCGTTATCATCGCTACATGTGTCGTGAAAAACGGTATATTTAATATTGACTGACCGTCGCCCAAGCCGGGCTTAAAGGCACTTCGAATTTCTCGAACACGGATAACAAATACGGGGTGTACGGTATACCGGACAAAATGTTGATGAAAAATATCAAAACCATGAGCAATATCAATGGTTTCAGCGTTTCGGGTTCCGTAAAACGGTTCAGCGAGTCTTTAATTGCATTAAACGGGTTTTGTGCGGTTTCTTCTGTAAACAAATGAAAAACAATAAATTAATATATAAATCATTCGTTTTCCATTTCTTGTAGGGAATCGAATAAAAATTAACCGTACAGTACACCGTTACACTGTCCGGCTCAGAAATGAGCGAGACGAGTGTCCAACACTGTTCCTATGTGCATTACTCGCGTATTCCTGTACGCGCATAGATCGGTACCGGATGTACGTACCGTATCAGTATTACACCGAGATAACTATATTAGGTGGCTAACTCTGTGTGAAATCGTAAAAATCTCTCGTACGTCATAGCGATAAGAGCTGATGAAATATTGAACGATTACCGTCTCGGTTTTGTTGATAAATGCGATCGATACGTATCAATAATTATAAAACATGATGAAACAAACGGTTTTCGATGGTAACCTTTTTGATGACCGTCAGGTTTCATTTCGGACGCATAACGAACCATGTCTTGAAATTCCGCGTCACACTTTTCATCGCTCGCGCCTCCCCTGAGCCTCTTGAGCGTGCTCTTCGCCTTGTCCACTTCGCCTTTCGACAGTAACCACATCGGAGAATCGGGAGTCTGAAACGTAATGTTTTTCAACTCGAGATCGATTTTGTTTTTTTTTCTTTTTTTTTTTTTAAAAAACATAATTTTTTAATTTCGCACGATTAGAAATCGTAAAAAACTTTCCGCGTTGCTCGACGGCTCCGTCTGCTTCATGTGCCTGTACGGGACGTGTCGAGGAACGACGAAACCCTAACCCCATCCCCACCCCGGTTGGACACGCTCACCTGGTGCAGTAGAACGGCGTTGAAGACCGGTACGACCACGGTCATGATCACGGACAGCTTCCAGTCGGCCGTGACGGCGAACAGCGCGGTCACGCACAAGTAGCCGCCGAAATAGAACAGGTTGGTGATGGAGGTCAGCGTTCCCCGGAGCTTGGGCTCGCACACCTCGCCGCAGTACGATATGGTGAAGCCGGTCGCGAAACCTACGTTGAAGCCGGTAAGCGCGGTGCACGCGTACAACGCGGCCGGGCTGTCGGCGCGGTGCAGCGCGACCACGGACAGCAGCTGCGCCCCGTTCGAGAACATCATGCACGCCCTGTGCCCGAAGCGGTCCTGCGCCGCGGACAGCACGCCGCTGCCCACCGGTGGCAACAGGTACACGAGGCTCCCTGCAACCGCGAAACGCAACGTAGCCGGTGGCTAAAGGTACGATTCCCAAGGACGCGTCTGTAGACGCGCGACTAAATAGGTATTCCGTACAACTACAAAACGTAGCCGCAAGGGACGCGCTTTAAGTACATTGTTATAGTATTCCTTATCATTAATATTATCATAGTTCGTTCAAATTTTTGGATATGTCTTTCCATACGTTTTTCTTTATTTGGTAATCTTTATAAATACTATGTTGCAAATCAAATAAGCATGAATGTCTACTCGCATAATTAGCCAGCATAGAATCTTCTTCAAATATAAAAATTACTTTTGAAGACATTTCAAAATTATATTGAATTTATAATAAATTGGTTCCAAAACAAAACACAGCAAAGCCTCGGGTGAAAAACAAATTTCAAAAGTTTAGTTTAAGTACGATGTATGCAGCTGGAGCACTGATGACAGTACTATCGGCACTGCAGAGATATCTGTGCGAAATAGTAGCTATACAAGAGATTAGATGGACGAATGTAGGGAACATCAAACTATAGTTTGGTGCTATAGCTATAGTTATGGTCAAAGCCATAAATATGAGGTTGGGTTTATAGTAAACAACATCTTACCATTTGTAAGAAACTTCATAATACATAGCGAAAGAATTTGTCTCTTACAGTTGGTGTACAATTGGGGAAACATCGCAGTAATTAACTGTCATGCTTTAATTGAGGATAAAGTGGAGCAAATTAAGGAAGAGTTCTACAACCAACTAGATAGAGTTTATGGCAGTATACCCTATAGGACTAAATAGATTGTAATAGGAAATCTTAACGCAAAAGTCGGTAAGGAACAAGTGTTCAAACCTACAATTGGGGAACACGGCCTATACGAAGTATCCAATGATAATGGGAGCAAACTTATGGTATCTTATTTGCGAAGTCAAAGTATATGACTATTAGTAACTCGTATTTCCCCCAAAAATAAATACATAAACAAATCTGGATGGTCTCCTGATGGTCATACAAAAAACCAAATATACCATGTTGTGGTCGATGAACCATTCAAATATAATGTACAAGATTTAAGAAGTTACAAGGGAATAAGTGGACATTCAGATCATTTTCTATTTAAGGTAAAATTGCATATAAAATTACTCATCAAATGGAATCAAAAAAGAAAAAGTTCGCAAGTTCGATAGAGACAAATTAAACGAGGAATAGATAGCTAATGAATATAAAAAAGGTCTAAAAACAAAATGGACAACAGCTTAAAACTACAATATCAAGAACATTGAACACAATTAGAAAAAACCATAAAAGAGGTTATAGAAGAAAAAATCGGTATAGTAAACAGCAAAAATAAAACAAATAAAACTGCAACAAAGAAATACAAGAAAGAGATTGATCAAAATCCTTGATGGTTATGAAAAATAGTATAGAATATAAAAGAAGAATAATCCAGAAACAAAGAGAAATGAAAAGAGTAATAAGAAGAGAAAAACGAGAGTGGGAAAACAAAGAATCGAAGCTATGTAGGAGGAGGCTTATAAGGACTGTAAAATGTTTTCTAGGAAAGTTTACAAAATAATAAAACCGTATAAATTAAAGTCAATAATGAAAAATAAGAATAATGAACTGATATCAGATGAACAATCCATTTCTGAAGATTTCTATAAAGTTTTCCAACAAATACTGCACTAACCAGAAATAAAGGATAAAGGACAGGATGATTCTGTATATACAATAGTAGTAAGGTAAAAATGTATATCAGGGAAGAAAGAAATTAAAAAAGCAATAGAAATGCTAAAGAACAACAAAATTCCGGGCGAGGACATGATAGGAGCCGAAATCATAATAAAGAAAGGAGAACTAATTGTTAATGATATGCGAGAACTAACTAAGAAAATATGGCAACAAGAACAGATATCAGAAGAATAGAAGGAAAATGTATATGTCTCGTATATAAAAAAGGTGACCTAGAAGATTGTCATAATTACAGGGGTATATCGTCACTCAATGCAGCTTATAAAGTGTTATAAAATATTATCTTAAATAGACTGAAATCATATGTGAAAGCAATAATAGGTGAATACTAATTTGGCTTTAAACTAGGAAAGTCTACAATTGATAGAAAAACATAACGAGTTCAATAAGCCATTACATTACTGTTTATTAAAAGCAGGCATACGATTATATCAAAAGAAAATCACAGTGGAAAAGCACGGAGAAGTTCGATATACCATCGAAATTAGTCAAAATGGTAAAAGTATGCATTTAGGGATCAAGATGTAAAATTAAATTTGGAAACAATTATTCAGAAGAATTCGAGGCAACAGTTGGTTTGAAACAAGGAGATGCTCTATCACCGACTGCCCTAGAGGAGGTTATTAGGAAGGTCCAAGTAACAGCAAACGGTGTCAGTTTCAATTTTATATTTATACATTTTTATATTTATATACAAGTCATTATCATCATCCATGATTTTCAATCGGTTTTGAATTACGATTTGGAGGAGGGGGGGGTAGGTAGAGTTTTCCGACGCTCTAAAAACGGCTATTGCAATTGTTATCGAATAAGTAAAAAATGTAAAACGGTATTCAATACGTCCGATCTCGGGTCAAGTTTTCAAGTACAAAGAAGTTATAGTAGCAGTACTAGTATTAATAATTTATCAGGTCCAAGGTTTACCTGAAGCACGGTACGGTTGAACGTTCGAATCACATAATATTTACGGCATTCATTCAAACGGTTTTGTTTTTATTGGAGTTTAAGACTAACGGCGTCATTACAACGCGATCGCATACGTGCAGACAGCGGCGTAAACGCGATCGATTTTCGAAACATTGATGTCATATTTTTCCGATCCTGCGCGCATTAAGTACCTGGCATTTGGTTGGCGAGTATCGCGAAACCATGATCAGTGATGAATAGCGGTTTCGACGGTTCGGCAACGCATACACATGTATGTAGGTCAACGTGACACGACATGATTGATTGAAATCGAAGATTATAGCTCGAATGATTTGTGACAATTAACCGCGAGCGGCTTATTGATTGCGAACGATATGTCACGTGCTGCTGTGGATTTTACCAGCCGTTGTTGGTTTTAGCAATATTTCAGCGGGCAAAGGCAGAATGTGCCGCGGCTGTACACAGCGATTGCGTTAACAACTGCACATTCATTTATACCGTACGTCTACCGCAGAAACCATGATGGTCTACAGTTATAGCGAAAACGCGGACAGCGTGAATTCTCGCGACGAGAAGCCGCGGATAAAATCACAACGGTTATTGTATGGTCGTGTTGCGTAGCCGTTACCGATGCGTGCTCTCGAAATGAAATCGTAAACAACGATTGACCCGTGAACTAAGACGTCGAAATTGATGATAATTGGCTGTACCACATCCGGAACAATAAAGCAATTATGCGCACGGGACTGCGATAAAAGGCTGTTTATTTAATACCGAATGACTACAATTTGTTTGTTGAAATAATGTAGTTGTGTTGCGCGCGTTATGCATTGTATTCGTTCGGATTTCGAGCAAACCGACCGTGCGTATATTATTTGGTTACAACAACTTAAAGTATTCTTTGTTCAAACTTTCTGCTCGCGTAAATCTGATACACAATTTGCGTACAAACGTTTTGTTTACATTTTCGTAGAGATTATTTTTGGATAGATAATTTTTTAGTTTTCTCAGGAGTAGTGGGGAAACGACCAAGAAATATTTTTATTCTATTTTATTTTATATAACAATTCAATATTAATAAATATAATAGACATTGATTTTACATGATATTTTACAGTAGAGCTGATGGAACACTCTCAATTCCATTTATACCACACGAAGTGCTTGGATCCCATACTCTATATAGCTACATATTCTAATATCGACCTCACAAAAGCGCAGTATAAGGACTTTATGAGGGTAACTAATTTAGGTTCACTACCATTTTATAAAGCTTAATGTCTTTAAAGCTTTACAACACATTTTATCTAAATGTGCATAAAAATTTGATTCACCATCAAAAACAATACCCAGGTCAGTAACTGTGTTGCCCACGAACAACAAAAGATTTTTATTAATCACATATGGATAATTAATTTATTCACGAGTCCTAAAGAACGATACATTAAAATATTCAACTCCAAACCACGATCATTGGCCCACTTTACTAAAGAATTAATATTATCTTATAAGAATATACTTATACAGTCCTCTAAAAAAACACATATTAAAAATAACTTTAAAACATCTACAAAATATCTGGACATTATGTTTAATTTCGTCCTACAACCGTTTCTACGTTTTTTTTTTTTTTTTATAAAATAAACATATTTAAAGCTTGATAAATATAAATAAGGAAAACTTTAAGCGCGTATTTTAGTAAATTCAGAAATTTTAATTTCGCCCATTTTATTTTGAATGATGTAATCACATGAATTGTGATTTACGAAAAAAAAATCAACTTATCCATTAACAATTTACCCGGGTATTGTCAATATTAATTTAATTTTAATTCAAAAAATTGTTAATTCAACGCATTTTTAACCGTTTAACATTTTTTTATTTTTTCTAGAATATATCAATATTGAACAATAATAATAAGGTACAATGTGTACTAATCATATAGATAATAGATATTAATCAAACGGTAGTTGGACCGATCAGTTAATCACAGTAAAGAAGGGACACAAGGGACGATTAAAAGGCTTTGTCTTTCTCTCTCTCATCGATTTTGAATGGTCTTCTGAAACTGGGGTCACTTTAGAAACAAGTGAGCTACATTAAAAATTTTAAGTCTATTAATTATAATAACTATTAATAATCGAATATTCTATTAGTGCACAAGAAAAGTAAAAAAAAAAAATAATAAAAAATAATGTAAGTTTATAAATGTGATGCCTGCACTGGTTTTGCAGAAAAACTTTTATTGCGATCGACCTATATTCTTAAAAAAATCAACTGGTTGGTGACCCCTGTTTTATAGAGTAAACAGACGACCTGTGTTTGATTATCATTGGCCCCCTCCACCAATTAGTGATTTCTAGATCCACACCTGAACGTAATATACTGTACATTTGTATTACAAACTTACACTTAGGTATTTTTATCATCATAAATGCAAAAAATTGTTTAAATAATTCTTTAAAAATATACAATATTATAATATAATACATATATATTACATATATTACAGGTCAGTAAATCTCAATTGATTCGATAATTAATTACGATTCAACGCACGTAGGACACAAAATAAAGGAATATAGCACCTACAATCTAGTAAGTATAAAATAAATTGTTTCTAGTCTTTGTACCCGAGTAGACGGTAAAACATTTTTATTTGATAGCTATTTTAATACGAATTGCGATAAACCACGAACTACTATATATCAAACTGTAGATTATTTAACTTTAATTAGGTACACATTACTAAAACTATTATGTTGATGATACTTTTTTCTGTATACCGAAATTAACCCAAAAATTATTGCCACATAGACTTAATACTATTCTAATGACATTCATTATGCAGTGTGATGTTGAGTAGTGCCTCTTATTGTGATATACGTCCAAATAAATCAATTACCAAGATCAGTATATTTAAAATTTAGCAGGACTAAAGTTGAAATATATGCTTGATTATATAAAAAAAAAAGGAAAGTTACTCTCATAATTATGAAAGTAAAATAATGAGTTTATACAAAAGGTATTTCGTAGATCTGCAGAATTTTTATGAAATTTAAAAACGTTAAAAATCTTCCAAGAAAAACTTATTGGCGAGTGTTTAAGTTCTGTTTGTGAAAGAAACGTTCGAGGAATTAATAGCAAACGATTTTCACCGGAAAAATAAGAAAGTTTATGGCCAGCATTGGATTATTTTGAAACCACATGATCATAAACCATGTGAATGAGCTCCGATAGAAAATTGAATTCTTTGTATTTTTCGTTATGCATTAATAGCACAAGATTTGTCTCCAGCAAATAAATTACCAGAATGATTGCGCGTAATCGTATTACTTTTATTACATTAACGCTGTACTGCGGGAAACCGTTACATTCCAAAAATTCGCGAAAGCTCCGGGGGTGAGGGATGAAAACTCGTGGAAATGAATCAATATAATGACAGCCAATGAACCGAAATGGAATAAAAATACGAGTAAATACAATGAAACCCTGTCTCAATTACAAAAGCTTTGTACTGAATTAGTAATCGAGACGATTATTGCAGAAGATTATTTTAAGGTAACCTGTTCATTGTAATATCATAACGGTGTTCAAACATCTACAAATATTACATAATAGTTTTTATTTGCTCGAGGGATTATTTTTCAGTTAATTTCAACTCCCGCCAGGGTTTTCTAATAATTTTTATGCAATGTCTATCAAAAGTAATTTTAATTACGTCAATAACAAACGATCACAAACAATACAACGAAAAATATACTGCTATTATATTGTTCTATTGTTCCGTGTTTAATCTTCCCGCCGCGACGGCCGTGTGCTTAATAATAATAAAATTATTGCTGGCGTGCGCTAAATTTCCTCGCTTTCCTGTGTCCTCGAATCTATAGCGCAACAACAACAAATTAAAACTATTCGATTGACAATGGAAAATATTAATTATTTGTTGTTACAATTAGTATTTGCACAAATATAGGTGGGCATTACGCGAAAACTTTAATCTGTTCCCGCTCATAGAGTGTATAGATGTGATTGGAACATGTTTTTAAACTTACGATTACGAAACTCGATCCACGCGCATACCAAATTAAACTATTCGTTTGATTATAAATAATTACTACAGTGTCCAATCTTTTTAAACGAAAACGAAAATATTTGCATTCTGCACTGTTTGCTGGTGCCTAAATAACTAATTATGACGTTGTAATTTATTAATTATAACTTGGATTATAAATTATTTTCCAACAGTAAATCACAATGATAACTTTGCAATGATAGTATATACTTTTATTTTGTAGTCAGCACCCACACACTCATTTGTTATCCTAAATATGAGTGTTTTTCTTTCGGGAAGTGAGAACTCAGAATAAAGTGAAGTGATTTTTCACCAAAGCCTTCTCATGATTATTTTAATTATTTTTAATTGTGCTCATTAAACAACTCATTATCTACAATTTGATGATTTTTACATATATTATAATGTCTATAAATTTCGTAATAATAATCCATAGGATCATGACTGCTAAACCAATAAAGAGTGATTGAATGATTTATTTGCTAAAGTTAACAACATTTATATAAAAACAGTATTTTTGTAAAAAAAAACTTGTCTGCAAAACTACTTTAACAATATTGCTGGGAAAAATCATCATAGGCATTTAACTATTTTGTATTCGATGAAAGGCAAATAATGTGCGTGGGCTTTTTTGAAATCCATATTAACGTACATATATTATTTTTTAATAAACTTTTTACGGATTTGGTTTGAATTTGATCCTAACATAGTCCTCTATATGTATCTACAGTAAATATAATTTAAATTAATCGATATATTTAATATTATATTTATGAATTTAATGTTAAGTTTATATAATTTCTTTGAATATGAAAATATAAATAAAACAAAACCTAAAATTTTTCTATCGAAAATTGAAATAATTAAAAAAATTAAAAATATACGTATTTCTAATAATGAATATTGTTTATTGAGTAGTAAAATAAAATTTAACTATATTGTGTCAATTAATTGCAATATACTAAAATAAACTAAATATACTAAATAAACGTTTGACATATTATTATACTGATATCTATGAAACACATTACATGTCAGCAACCATAGTTGCTAAAAAAATAAAAAATAAAAAAATAATGATCTGGAAATAAAAATGCTGTACCAAAAAGGATATTTGTTATGACATTTGAAATCCATGATTTGCGCGATAAATATTCAATAAAATAATAAAAAATTTAATTAAAGTCGAAAATTATTAAATGTTTGATACTCGTAAATTAATATACATAAAATAAATAGTTTATATATAAAAATAAATAATTATAAATATAACTGATTCAAATTGTACTATTAATCGGGTTTTGATTGATTTAAAATTTGATGCTTGATGTGTATTGAATTTACAACCTTTATTTAATATAAATTTTAACGGTTTCCAGCTTCATTGAAAAGCATTTCAATAAATTTAATTTATTATATTATATTAATTATTTATTATATTTCATTTATTTATTTATTTATTTCTTTATATGAACTATTTATTTATTTTTTTATATATTGATAAATACTTGTACGTAATTATTTTAATTTTTGTTTTATTTCTTCGATTCATTGTATTCAGCATAAGTATAATAAAATCTCTTAGATCAGTAATAATAATACAATTGGAATGATTATTTTTTAAGTGATATCATTGTACTCGACACTTATTTGATCTTGTTGAAAATTCCTTTAGCATTTTTTGAAAATCGATTAAATAAGTTCTTTAGAGCGTTCGAATGTAACATTATCGTGATTTTATTGACTTAGTGTGTGCCTAATGACGAGTTTTTAATCCGAAACCGATCGTACTATACAAATATAAATACGCTAGGCTAAGCATTTATTTATTTCTATAAACTATTACTTTTACTTATTTATACATGTAAATACTATTTTGTTGATTACTTAATAATCTATATGACAACAAAAAGTTTAGTTATTCTTATGATATAATCGATCACTCATAAATATCAATAAGTATGAAATAAAATAATATGTCCTTATTGAAAAATAAACATCCTAACCTAACCGTACCCTACTTGTTAAGTACCAATAGTGACCATGCGATTGCAGTCGGACGTCAGTCTATCTTTCGTCTCCATGATTCGACCAAGGTTGGTTGAGACCTACGATCTACCCCTCTGACTATGAGCTGAGCTAGGAGATGTAAGACTACTAGTTGCAACCGTATCGATCTGACGCTGGTGATCGCTGGCAACAATTAGCAATTAAATTGACACACCCATTTCCGATGTTATAGTGAGAATCACCAACCGTTGTTGTTTGCAACATTTTCCTGTCACATTTATTAGAAAGTGAAAAAAAATCGATATTTGACAAATTCTAGGCAACTATTTTTGTTTATCTCGTCCAATTACAGTGAATAAGCACATTAGTGATAGCATTTTATGTCACAACGCAATTGACTGTCGTAACATTTACTTACTTATCATAATCTATATTTTAATATTCCCAACGGCTTACTATAAATGTCAATATAATTTCAAGTCATTCGTGCGCAAATTTCAACTCCGGCATTAATAATAAGTCGATAAAAATACGACTGAAGCGCGTTGTTTTGTCAGTGGCAGACAACAAAAACAATGATCACAAGTCACTATTATGAATAAGAATGGACGTAATCCATTACCAATGGGGAATTTATGGAAATTTATGTAGTGATTATTTTTATAGTGTCAAACTGCAAAAGTACAATTTAATAAAATAACTGATTTTTAACACTTGTACGTAATATTGTCAATATTGATGATCGATAACCAAACAATCAAATAGTTCCGAACTTTTTTTCGTGTAACGTACAAGGTAAATTTAATATACATACTACGATAAAGTCGATAATGTCTCCTTTTTTTAAAGATCCATCGCCACAACAACATGTTATCTTCATCTTTCAATAATTTGTCGCAAGTTTTCCTGTATTCTATATATCAATCTTTGTTCGAGACTTTTGATAACAATAAAAATAGATTAATGAAATATATTTTAACTTTTACAAAAACCTCTTGAATATAATATTGTAGAAAATGTACGTTTAAAACTGTAATTATACTCATATTGGTTCAATGCGTCACTGAATATATTATAAGTAATTGGAAAAAAGAGATAGGTACATTCAAAATATTTGCTCTTGATCTCACGACAAATACAGTTTTATTTTGAAAAAATGTTCATGGCTACCAGTTATTGTTGTAAACAATGTTGCATATTTTATATCATAAACTATAAATCCGACGTTGTATCGACAATCGATATGATTTTTATATTAGTAATTATTTTATTTGGAACATGCATATATTATAATCGTAGAACTTTTCTAAAGACCAACGAAATCAAAATTATACCAAGGGGAGTACTATTTGCGATTAAACGGCGAAGTGGTACAAATAACAATGATGATAAAATTAAATTAATTTTCAGCAAGCTTGTGACAAAAATTATGTTTCTTACTAAAAATATTTTCACGTAGATAAATCTGTAAATATTTGTATAGAATGTAAGGCCGAGTAAAACCGAGGTTTATTGTCACATTGATGGTTAAAAATATTGCAATAATTATATTGATAAATATGGGCCGTCCCCGGTGGTACTGCGATACCGGGTCAACCCGCGGTGGAGTAGAAGCAAGCCCCAAATCTCCACCATTTTTCATAAATTAGTTTAACATTTGAACACTCGGTAAGTGTATATCAGATGTTAAGCTGATAAGAACAGATACTACACTTTGATCTTAGCTCAATGAGCCGAGAAGCGATACACAATTCTC